TCAAGGGGCTTGCGAGGGTTCAGCAAGGAGAGACACTGGTTGCCAAGACTGACAACCTCAGTTTGGTTTCCAGGACCCACGTGGTAAACGGAGAGAGTGGAGCCCCAAGTCCTCTGACATCCCCACACTCTCCACAAAATAAATACAGTTAATAAGAATAATTAAACCTAGATCAGGGGCCATTTCATGAAAGTAGTCCACAAAAGCTGGCTGATTTCCACGATCATTAACTATACATCCTGTGTCGTGGTGATGCATAAATCTCCCGGGATTATCCATTCCCATCCATTTTCCACGTGGCATGGCTCTTTTGAAAATTCCTCTATGATGTTTATACACCCTGATGGGCGCATTCCCTCCTGAATGTTCCTCTCTCCCGGGCCTGCTTCTGTGTTGTGCTGGGCATATGGCATCCATTCCACATGCTCTCGTATACAGACCACAGATTTGGCAGGAGCAAAGCTGGCGACTGAACAGCAGCAGTATTACTTAAGTGGCTTCTTGTCCTACTGTGCACATAATTATTTTCCAACCGCTTAGACACTTGGCTGACTTCTTCAGGCTAATGCAGCTTTTAATTCATTAAAAGCTCCTGGAATTCCATCAGCTGGGTGGAATGCCAATGTAGATAAATGATCCTTTTTTTTTTTTTTTTCCTGAGACAGGGTTTCTTTGTGTAGGCCTGGCTGTCCTGGAACTTACTCTGTAGACCAGGCTGGACTCGAACTCAGAGAGATCCACCTGCCTCTGCCTCCTGAGTGCTGGGATTAAATCATACCTGAATTATTTTTATTTTTTTTTCTATTCTTTTAAAGACAGAGCCTGTGTTGCCCAGGCTGATCTCAAACTTGAATTTTCTTGCCTCTGCTTTCCAAGTGCTTGTTTACATGTGGTTTCCATAGCTCTTTCCTCAACCAACTGACTCTCCACTAAATGCATTGGGCTGAATGGGACAAAAAAAATAATCTTTATTGATAACACCTTGAAATCCACTTACCAAATGCTTGCTCATACCTAATTCCAAATCGTTCATTATGGTTTGGAGATTCATTTGAAATCTTCACTTTCTTTTTTTCTACAAAATTCACCAAACCTTCAGACTCAAATATAAAGTAATTATAAAGTAATTTGCTATATAGTCATTAATACGTAATTGAGTAGATAAATTTCAGAATTTTCAGACGCGTGCAACAGGAACTGTTTGCATCTGATAAAAACAGTGGGGACAGTTTTGGCCAAAGTGGAGTATGAGCTAGTTCCTCTATGTAAAGTTGTTGGGAAATGTAAGGGGCCTTTCTGCTTTGGCAGTCAAATGCCTGACTGCCAGCAGTTCATCATTTACTGAACGCCACACGCAAAGGAAGCCCTGTATCAGCGCCTGGGGGACTTGTCAAATTCTTCTTAGTCTCCTATAAGGAGCGTTTTGTCTTTTTCTTTTTCTTGAGTCAGTGCTCCGGAGGCTGACCCCAAGCTCACCATCCTCCTGCCTCAGCCTCCTGAATGCTAAGGCAGCATGGTGTTGTGAGAAGGGGGAAAAGTAGGAGGGAAGTAAATACCTCGACGTTGTCTTGTGTGTAACTGAGAGTTGTTCTGACTTTCAGAATTCCAACACCTGGGACTCTGGTCGATCTCTCTCTGTCTTTCTCTGTCTCTCTGTCTCTGTCTCTGTCTCTCTGTCTCTCCTCCTCTTCTTTTTTTTTTTTTAAAGATTTATTTATTTATTATGTATACAGAGGAGGGCGCCAGATCTCATTACAGATGGTTGTGAGCCACCATGTGGGTGCTGGGAATTGAACTCAGGACCTCTGGAAGAGTAGTCAGTGCTCTTAACCTCTGAGCCATCTCTCCAGCCCCTCTTCTTCTTTTTGTTGTTATTTTTGTTTTTATTTTGAGACAGAGTCTCATTATGTAGCCCTGACTGGCCTGGATCTCACTCTGTAGACCAGGCTGGCCTCAAACTCAGAAGTTTGCCTGCTTCTGCCTCTAGTGCTGGCATTAGAAGTGTGTGCCACCAGGAGTTGGTTTTGAGACCGGATCTGGTTGGCTTTGAACTGCTGATCTTCCTGCCTCTACTTCCCAGGTCCTAGGATTAAATATACCTAGGACTGTCATTTTAGAAATGTTAATCTTTGAGGATTTCAGCTTTCAGGATTTTGGCATTCAAAATCCATCCCCCTCTTGAGGCTTTGATGAGCAATGGATGAGGTGACGGTGACCATGGATGTTGGCACCTGGCTCCCTGCAGGTGGGTTATAATTGAACAGCCCCTTCTAGGGTTCAACTCATATACCTCTCTCCAGTTTTAGGAGCATGCCTTGGTGCTGGAGCCCGAGTAGTCAGTCCCCTTCAGGCTCCCAAACAACTCCCTGAATTGCCATGGCTCATGGAACCTGAAAAAAAAAAATCTGCCAAACCCTGAAATAGCTTAGACAGAAGATGGGACAGTTTTAAACACATTCCCACAAGCACATACTTAATATGGTTGTGGCACTGTAGTCGGAGAGGAAAGGAGCCTCATAGAATCTTGTTTTTAAGGTCACTGACCTCAGTACTACACCCAGCCGAGGCTAAGCTGGAGAAAGCAGATTGTTCAGCAGAACTTTCTTTCAGAAGAGGACTGACCCTTGACTCAGTGAGAAAGAGGATCTTTCTGTCTCCACTGGGCATTTTTATCTTCACTTAGTGTTCCCTGCGTTTCCATAGGTGTCGATGTGAGCTTGGCATTGACAGGTTTGGGGCCATGGCTCGGGTGATCCCCACTCCACCTCGGTGTCTGCTCCCCCTGGGAATAAGCAGGTGCTTAGTTCCATGTCTAGAGTGAGGGAAGGGAGCCCGTTTTTACTACAGTCTGACAACGCGTCCCTGGCCTTTCTTGATTCTGCCATTAATCCTCTTGTCAGCCTATAAAACTTTACATTTACTAATTACAGATTAAAAGCCTAAGAGCACAAACAAGAAGTGACTTGCTTGTGAGTGAGTCACTTTTATACAGCAGGGTAAGTGATAATCCTAGAATTCCTACCCACATCGATTGAATGCCACCTGGAGATGCCCTGCCTATTGAGCCGTCCAGGGGCCCTAGAGTATGCTGGGGAAACTCCCTGAAACACTAGAGTCTCTAATCATTTCTCTCCCTTTCCTTATGAATTTCATCTGTTTACTTTATTATTTTTAAGTTAAATTTGAGCCAGGAGTGGTGTCACATGCCTTTAATCCCGGCACTTGGGAGAAAGGCAAGCAGATCTCTATGGATCCAGGGTCAGTCTAGTCTACACAGCAAGCTTCAGGCCAACCAGGGATACATAGTGAGACCCTGTCTCTCCCCTTAAAAAAAATTAAATGCTTATCTAAGAAAATTTGGGAAATATAGAAAATAAGCTGGGTATGGTAGTGCATACCTGTAACCCCAGCACTTGGGAGATAGAGGCAGGAGGATCAGAAGTTTAAAGTTATCCTCAGCTACCTATCCAGTGAGTTTAAGGCTAACCCAAGCTTCATGAAACCCTGTCTTTTTAAAAGAAAAAGAAAAGTGTATGTGTGTAGCAGCGGGGGTGGGGGCTGGGGAGCAGCTGGGAATGGTAGTGCACATCAGTGTTCTAGCACTCAGGAGGCAGCCGCAGGACCATCACAACAAAATCGAGAGAGATATCATTCATGATATTTCT